TTAAAGAGCGAGAAGAGAGGACCAAAAAGCAGAGAGAGGCAGCACAAAGACTTAAGGATACAAGAGAAAAAAGGCAAAGAGAAGCGAGAGAAAGGAAACAGAGAGAAGAGACGGAAAGGAGAGAACAAGAAGAGAGAGAAAGGAGGGAAAGGGAAGAGAGAGAAATGAGAGAAAGAGAAGAGAGAGAAACGAGAGAGAGAGAGGAACGAGAAAATAGAGAGAGAATGGAAAGAGAATTGGAAGAGCGAAGAGAAACGGAAACAAGAGTGAGAGAAGACAGAATCGCAGAAGAGAGCCTTTCACTTCAGGAGACTCCACAATGGCAGTGTGAACACTACCAGCGGAGATGTAGTGTCAAGTTTCCATGTTGCGGAGTGTTTTATTCGTGCCACCGCTGTCACAATCTATCGGGGACTTGCCCTACTGATGATAAGAAGGCACATCATGCGACGCATGTCAAGTGCGGAAATTGTGGACACGAAGAAGAGGTTAGTATCTTTTGCATACTTGGAATCTTGTCGTACTGAAGAAGCTTAGAGAAAAAAAGCTCTTAAAATCAGTTTTATCCCTAAATACCTGACGTTAAGATCCCATGGGAGTGAGTTAGATGTAACTTCACATTTATCAGAAAAGCAAGACCAATAGAAATCCTTCGGCTTGAGCGAGGTAAAAGCCAAATTCCTTGTAAACACGAAGGCCAATCAGCACGGGGAAACAGTTGTACCCAGGTACCCACTGATCATAGTTTAACATCTGACTGGCCGGGGTGAGGTGGTGTGAGTCTTTTAGATCAATCATACAGTTGTATAATAAAAAAAAAATACCGCATGCTAACTTCTCTACATTGCAGATAAATGAAGGAAGTCACACCTGTAGACGCTGTGGAATAAAAAAATCCGAATATTTCTGCCCAAAGTGTAAGCATTTTACAGGAGTTGATAAGAACCCCTTTCACTGCGAGAAGTGTGAAATCTGCCGGTAGGTTGTTTTTAAGTCGATTTCAAATGTACTGAGACTTATAGAAACGTTTGTAAGCTTGTTGTTCATATTTGTTTGTAATACACTCTAGCCACTTACGGATGGGAAAAAATACGAAGTGGACCTTTAATCGTTTCTACAATGCACCGTCCTCTTGAAAAATACTAAGATAGTTTCAAGGGAATACAACAACGCTTTTTACTTGTAACCAGCACGTCCTCTAAAACTTGTTTTGATATCATTTCATATTTCCTCTGCCGAAGCAGAGTTCGGTTCGTCAAATTATCGAGTAGATTTCATGGTACTGTTCGTCTGTTCAATAATAGATCACAGATGACGTCAAAATTGGGTAACAATAGAAAAAAGTGGCATATGAGGCGCGGCCGAGTGTATTACTGATGTTCTTACCACATGTTGACTTCTTCTGTGATCTATAACTGTACAGACTCACAGCAATGTGAGATATATTTGTTTTCTATGATAAAATTAGTAAAATGTTGTTAATGGTGAGTCAGACGTCTCTCCATGCGTCTGTCCTTCAATCGTAAACAAGAACCAATCAAAATGAGTGTATGATTCGACTTATCATGTAAGGCTGATTTCGATACGAGTGCTTCTGGCAGTGGATTTATTCACAGTTATGCATTACCTAACAAGATTTTGAGCAAGTAAAAAAAGATCATCAAAGAGACGTGACATTAAAATAAAGCAGACGATGATACATAGCGTAAAGGCTTGTTTTGCCCTTGCAAAGAAAAGCACATAAGTTCTTTGTTTTGCGAGCTTTAAAGTTTAGGAGGGAATCCAAGTTAGAATAACGTTAGTGGCGCCATGGGCCTATTATGTATTTTGAATAGACTTTTTTTTTTCTTATTATTTCATTTAGCATTTACAAGGACAGATCATTTCACTGCGACGTGTGCAATGTTTGCTTGGATAAGCGACTGGAGGGAAAACATAAATGTCGGCCGAACTCAGGACATGACGAGTGTTGCATCTGCTTGGAGGTAATTAGAGATCATATTTCATACTTTTAAATTACTTCAAACACGGAGCCGTTATCTTACACATTTTTTAGCGATACTGAGCGACCTCACAGCCGCAAGAGACACCTTACAGTTGCACGGTGTGTGTTTCTGCACGAGTGTTATTGACACTTTCTATTTTGCTCGATATTTCAGGACGCGTTTAGCGGTTGTCAGATCTTGCCATGCTCACACAAGGTTCACAGGGAGTGTGCCATTGCAATGGTACAGAATGGCGTGTAAGTATGCTTAAATAGTCAACAACAACTGTTCGTAACCTTTAAAAGAGTATGAATGCCCGATGGTGAGTTTTAACAAAGGAATAAGGGTAATATTGGCGATAAATGACAATGATTATACATCATCGAAAAAAGTTTTTAAAAGTCTGAAAAGGTATAAGGACGTCAGTCCTTCGGGGAGACGATGCTGTCATCGCTAAGCCGTTTCCGTAATTACCTATTGGATTATAAGCTTTTCTTTTTGGTGCCATGAAAACGCTATTTTTCTCTGGGAATGCAAACATGTAACCAACATTCTATAGGCGAAAAAGCTCAACGTTATATCAAGCAATGAGGTACAGTGACTGAAGGCAAATTATGCTTGATTGTCGAATGCGGAATTCCTTTTGTTTTCTTCACGCTGTTGTTGTTGTTGTTGTTGTTGAAAACCCTTAGCAGCCTCTCGACCAATCTAAAAGCAAAACTAATACCAATTGCGACTTGGTCAAAGGTTTTCCCGTGCATCAGGCAATTTCCTCGCTTCACTTTGAGTTCTTCTTAGCTTGGAGAAATTTTTAATCGAGTTTCAAAAGTAACTTGGATTGCATTGACTTTCCTACACTTCGCTCCACGATTGTTCTAGAAAACTCACGTCCGCCTCTCAACCGATCAGATGCAAAACTAAACCCATTCGAGACTTGGTCACATTTTTCCCACCTTTGATTTCCTTTGATTTCTCACTGGCTCCTTGTAAAATTGTCCTTTTTCTGATTGGCGCTTTTGATTCTTTGGTTTTAGTTTTTCGAACCTCGATCGCAAGTCGCTCTAATAACTTACACCGAATAGATGTCTGACAGGTTTTAATTGTTTCTTTTGCTTTTAGACGTAATTGTCCAATATGCCGCCACCCTTTGTATGGACAGCTCCAGCAGTAACCTCATGAAACAGAGGATCCAACCCAAGATGGCGAATACAGGCTAGAATTCTTTATTACCGAGTGCTTATACTATTAGCATCACGGAATGTGTACTTTGCGTTGATTGTCAACTTTTCATCTAATGTTGACAAGCTGAAGATAATAAGAGAGACGCTGTCACTTATTTTGTAATCAATTTGGATTCAGCACTAAAAGGAGAATGAAGGTAGAATATTTTTGCCAGATTGCAAATGCTTCAGAAAGTTTTAACAACACTTACAAGATAAGAAAAATAAAAGTGAAATGTGATCATCGCAGTAAATTTTCCAATTTAAGCAATTGGAAAGAAGAAGCCTGAAAAAAATCAGGGCTTCAACGGGATCCCGTTGAAGCCCTGATTTTTTTTTCAGGCTTCTTCTTTCCAATTGCTTAAATTGGAAAATTTACTGCGATGATCACATTTCACTTTCATCTACAACCGCAGTACAAATATGAATTATTTCATATAAAAACTTCACATAAGAAAAATAGCAAACAAAATAAAATGCTCACGCCTGATGAAAAGCAAAGATAGATGAATGGTTAAGGTTACTTCCCACCTTCACAAGCCGATAAAATCGTTTTTTCTTTTATCTGACTAACTTGAAGTCAGAAATTTTCCCTGACATCTACAAAAAAATTTGAAAATACCTCAAAAAGCGTCCAAGTTATTTAGAAAAACGTAGCTTCAAATGAGTTACTTTATCAGAAAGGAGTCATAATCTCGTAAATGGGCGAATTCCCTGAGGAAAGTTTTCGCGGCAACAGCTCATCTCGGAGTTCGTATTTCTTTCATTATTTAAGTACCAGCCTTGATACAATAATATCAACAATCGCCTCGAATCGTTATTCTTAAATTATAAAAAACCTACCCAAGGGAAGTCATTTTAGCAATAAGGGTATTCCTTAAGCTGTCTGTCGATTTGTTGTCTTAGTTTTCGGTACATTTTCCGGCTCTACCCTTTTTACTGCGGGTTTTTCCTTTGCCTTTGGCAACTTTGCCTATTATTGTGTCGTCCTCCTCGACGCTCCACCAAGCGAGATTGAAAAAAAGTGTGCGTAATGCAATACTTTTCCCGTCCTGGCGTACCACTTGATGAAAATATGTCTTGGTGTGCCAATTAACGAAAATTTACCCAATTGGTCCAACTGACCCAACTGGGCCAAGTGACCCAACTGACTCAACTGACCCAACTGACCCAAATGACCCAACTGGCCCAAGTGACCCAACTTGCCTAAGTGACCCAACTGGCACAAATGACCCAACTGGCCCAAGTGGCCCAACTGACCCAAAAAAATCCAACTGGCCCAAGTGACCCAACTGACCCAACTGGCCCAATTGGGTAAATTTAACAGGTGACCCAAGTGACCCAAGTGACCCAACTGGCCTAAGTGACCCAAGATGATATGTAACTGATCCAAAAGATCCAACCGGCAAAAATGACCCAAATGACCCAAATAGCCCAACCATTAACCAATGCTGGCATTTTATTATCGAAGCATTCATCATTTATCAAACTATTTAGCTGTTACGCTATTATTCGGTTCACCGATGTCGAATGAGTTGTCAGTAATCGGATCCTTCGGTTTGCGCAAAGATTCCTGGGATCGCCACGGGGCAAAAATTGCAACTTGCCAGAAGGTAATATATGGCGAAAGGTTGTTTGACGTCTTTTGGAAACTGTACGATACGTTAATTATTCCTATTTGATTGAAATTTATAAGTGATTTCGTTTATCTATACATAACCAAACAACATGTATGCGGCACGTGTTTTATCGCCCCATATATGGCACTGTTCCACGTGCTTACAATGGGACGTTGAGTGTGTGTTTTTTTCGAAGAAGCCGAGAGTTGTGAGTGGGAGTTAATCGAAACGTTGTGGCAAAATAGTGAAATCAAGTGAATAAGCTGGTACAGCTTTTTTACGTTTTCGACACGTTCAAAAAAACCGACTTTGGAGAGAGATCAACGATTTTTATCACATATGATTAATAATGATGTTGATGCGAGGAAAGTGTAAGTTTTTGTTGAAATTACCACCAAATATGTTATAAAATATACCAATAAACTTCTCTCCTTACGTAAGATATATTGTGAAAGCGTCATTGCGTAATGGTTCCGACATGTTACAAGATTAGCCATAAATCACCAGGAAAAAACTCATTTGAGACTTTTCGGTTGTATTTATGTATGTACAGCCTGTTTTTACACTTGTTAACGTATTGAATAAAAAATTACGACGTCTGGAAATTAGGAATGAAGTCGTTGTTAGGGGAGATGGAAATTGTTTTTACCAGACTGTTACACTCTAGAAGCATAAAACAAGCGATGAAAATCAAGAGGAAATCTCCAGGTCATATGGTAGTTTGTTTGAGAAAAATCCAAAGGTTTTTCAGCAGCAACTTTTCTCCTTGAACTCTTTGGAAGATCTTGTTATAAAAAAGCAAGATAACGCGAACTCCGGCAGAAACTGTGGCATCAATTCAGTTGTGCATCACTCCTTAGCGACCTAGTCTTACCTACTCATCGTCTCAGAAGAAAGGTTTAAGTTTTTAGCCAATTATCAACGCTGATTCGTTTTCATTGATCACAAAAAAGAAATAATGTAGGTGTTTAATCACTTGAATGTACCACGGTAATATTGAATGTTCAAGCACACCATTTCAATCTTCAGCTGCCTCGAGGTAGCTGTTGTAGCTAGCGATCTTTTGTATTACTAAGCAGAGAAAAAAGCTGGAAGTAGACTTAACAGATGTCAAACAGAAAAAGAAAAAATAAAGACTGAGAAGGCTTTGTCAAGTTATTGCTTGGCGATTTATGGCTTGCATTTCTGAATTTCGAGGCCATTTAAACCTTGCGTTTAAAGTATTTACTTTATTGTTGATTGATGCCTTGAGAATAAGATTATGCAGCCATTCTGCTCTTGCTGCGGCATTCGATACGCGAAAGGTTCGATAAATTAATTTTTTATCGTAGACTGATGTTATTATACTTTCTTCTAACATCTAGTTTGCTACGATTTTGTAGAATATAACACGGGTACGAATTTCTTCCGATGTACGCCCGCAAAGGTGGGAAGTAACCTTAATAGGTCACTAGTCGACACTGACAACCGATTATTGAGAAAGATTCTGTTCTTTTATCACTAAACTGAGCTTAAAGATTGTAGGCCATGAAAACTACTCCTTAACTAACGGAAAGGGTGGGTGGGGGGTGGTTAGGGGTAAACTGGCTAACGAGGATGTGCCTCTGGATGGGGCCGCATTTTCATGACTGAATTAAATATCATGGAGTTGCTCAAGAAATTATAATCTCTTGAGTTACTAAAAGGGGATTGCATATTTTTTGGGGGATTTTAGAGGTAAGATATCTCTGGTAAGTAGGAATTTAAAAATGGAAAGTTCCGCGGTTACAAAGTTCTTACCATACTACAAGGAGAGACTAAGTTGGCGTCTTCGAGGCCATTTTAGCGAGTTCTCCATTTCTAGGTTTATTACTCCTTAGGAGTAGTAAACCTAGAAATGGAGAACTCGCTAAAATGGCTTCTTTTCATCACAGTAAGCGGTCAGACAACAAGCGATGAACCGTGGAAGTAAGACGTAAGAGGCGCCATAATTATATTCTCCCGCTTGTCAGAACTGAACGTTTCAAAAGGACCTTTATTAATAGATGTTTGTTCTCTTATTAGTTATTCAGTTAGTAATTTAGTTAGTTTATTAGTTTTATACTTGCTGATTTCATATCATTGTAACTAAACACGTTTGTTGTTTAGAGTGCTTAATAAAGACTTATTATTATTATTATTAAGTAAGGTGAGGTACTTTTCTTGAGAATTTGACTGTACTTTTACTTCCAAAGAGAGGTCGTTGATATTCCCATAAAAACTCTTATATTTTCGCCATGACTCTTATTTTGCAAGATGATCATCTTGCAGCTGGAGCTTGAGCTGCCTGTGGTGTAAGTGGACAGGACGCGTCATGTGTGCGCGCTGTTGTCTCGCATTTGGCCGAGTTAACAGATGCTTTTTTTACGAAAATGTATGACCAATGTCTAGTTCATATCTCCAATTTTGTCATAATTTTGATCAATTGGTAACATGACTTCGTGTCGTCCAATTCTGACCGTAATCATACTCCTGATTAACAAAACGGACTCCCGTTTCGCAGTCGTCCGATTTTGTTAATCACTCGTATGATTACGGACCGAATTGCACTCCACTCGTTCCTATTACTATTATTAAATCCGTTCGGCTGTGTGTCTAAACGGGAGGCTTACATCGACTTCGGTAAAAAGTAAGATGGTAAAAATGGAAAAGTGCAAGAGTTATGGCTCTTTTGTAGTCACGTGGCTATGAAAGACTGTAAAATACTACACCAAGCCTTCACCTTCTTCTAGCCTTCTTCAAGTAAGGCTACGCGCGAATATGAAATATTTTCCTGTGGTGCAAAAAATGTCCTGGTGATCTGTTGGTTTACTCAAAGTTTGCACCATAGTATGACACTTCGAGATTGGTATTTCTTAGGGTGAGTGATTCTTTATCGCTGGGAGAGGGGAGTAGGAGGTTTTTAGGAGGTATCTCATGGCTTTCAGGGGGAAAGGAGGGGGATCAGTCATCGCCAACAAAGTATTGAAAGGAGAACGGTACAAAAGGAGGTGGGAATCATGGGGGATTGACGATGTTGGAGTCAAGTAAATTTTATCGTGACACAACCAAAATCCTCACCCCCTCCCCACCCCCCGACAATGAATAATGACCGGTCCATTATGGCTCCATTATATATTTCTGCCGGCTCTTATCAATAGAACGACTGAGGCTTAAAATTAAAGCCTACTTGCTATCGCCTATCAAGAGACTCTCATAGATATATTCCCCTTCTAAGTTATTACTGTCGTTTGAGACTGATCTGAATCCAAAACACCTTTCTGTCACGGTTTAATTATCGCGGGAACACCTTATTACCCTATGCTGCTTCGTTCGTAACCTTAGGGCAGGAGCCAGGTAGCTCTCTGCTTAGTGGTCGCTATCTCTTGTTCACCTCACCTCTGGGAAGGAGTGATAGCAACATCGTTCCCAGGGTCCTCTTACTTCGACCTTTGAGGAAGGAAGAGGGTTGTACCGTTGTACGTATTCCCTTTGTTGTAGATATGTCACAGTTGTGAGGGTTGTCCCTATCGGCTAAAGATATGCCCGAGGAGCATTAGT